AATATAAAAACACATGTGATAATCTGTCTTTCTTTATTAACCTTTTCAGAATAAGGAAATTAAAATATTGAAATCTCCCTTAATTCTCCCAAACCACGTTACTCTCTTATTCATCCTGAAAAAACGTTTACAATCGTTTCTGCAATCAGCAGAAACAAGTCCTTTTTTGCTAATGATGAAGAATCAGCATAAACAAACAATGATAATCTTCATTCACCATAGGCATTAACAGTTAATCGGTAGAAGTAAACACACGTAAAGTGATCTTCTGCTTCTATCTGATTAACATGCAGTGCTCACAGATTGGTCTGCTCTTATGTCTTCTGACATTGATATATGATTCTTAGAACCAATGTCTCATCATTATTATGTCATTCATGATGACTCTGCGTTTTGTTCACCCAATGTCACATGCATGTGAAATGAAACATACATGCCAACCCACACTATTTTTCTTCAGTCATTAATACCAGAGTTATGATCTCATCGTGAATAGGATCTACTTCTTATGTTTCAGTGAAAGGTCTTAAACTCTATATTTTTATATTAATTTAGTTTTTAAATTTACAAAAATGTATTTTGTTTACTATAAAGTAGAGTTGACAAACTTTTAGGGAGAAAAGAAACTAATTTCACAATTATTTTATTGAATTTATGGATAAAATTTATCATTGCAAAACGTTAGATGATGTATTCCCTTTTATATCAACTAACATATGAAAGTTTGGTGGATGAGCTTCCGTGAATTGAGTGTGGTCAAAGTGTGACCCTTCGGTGAAAACAGGAATTTATGAACAGGAGTTGCATGTTCCACTATATTAAATAGATGAGAATGTTGGTTCTACCCACGATTTTTATGTCAGTTTATCTTTTCTAGCCCAACAATTTATTTGTTGGTTATGCCCAAACACATTAATACAAATAATAATTAGTTACTTTTAAATGCAACTGAATAATTATCACGAGTGTTCTTCATTACATTTATAAAAAAGATATAAAATGTTATTTTTAAAAGTTAATAATTAGTTACTTTTAAATGCAACTGAATAATTATTAGCATAGTACTTATTATATTTTGATAAATCAAACCATTTGTTTAAAATAAACATAAAATAATGAATCTGAAATATTTTTATATGGTTAAATAAATTCATCGTATTTAAATGTATACTAAATATAATAGGATCCTAACAATGTCACTCCCTTCCCATCATACCAAACTCCCCTTTTTTTCTCTCATATAAGTGTTAATGAAATTAATTTATTCAAAAAAATATATTATCAATAAATTATGTAAATGACTGTTAAAAATTTAAATCAAACAATCAATAACTCAAATGATTTCTCTATTTTGTTTAAATTAAAATCTAATTATTCGATTCATACAAAACGTCACAATAAGATTATGAAATTTAAAAAATATATTTATTACTGTTTTGAATAACTAATTAAATAAAAAAAATGAGATAAATTAAAATTAAATGATATGATATGTTAACTATAAATTTAAGGAATTGAGTGTTATATTGTATTAATTTAAGGTGAATTGTAAATCCAAGAAGTAATTTGTGTTAACATTTAAAAATTGAATACATGTTGTAAGCTTTACATTTAGTAATTTTGGTTCTGCACCTCGAATTACATCAGTATAATTCGTTTTATCAAATTTAAATTTTCATACAAAATAATTTCATAATTTCCGGTCGTGCAGATAAAAATGTTTTTCTATGATTATGTTATGACATCATGAGTTGGGATTAATTGAGTGAAGCCCAATGAAACTGGGCCCATAAATCGATGGGTCTATTGGGCTTGAAAAGGAGGCCCTACCGGTATTAAGTTTGTGCACTTATTATCTTAATTATTCATACGGATGATGTCAACAACAAAAAAAAAACATATATAGAAGTGAAATTGCAACTGACACGAGTTTTAATGATTCAACTATCTTGGTTGGTGCTGCCCAGAAAATCATAATGAATTAGATAGGAATGACGAACAAAGTTATCACACATGTCACTGTCAGTCACTGCTTCTATTTATGTTTCACTGCAAATTCGTATGATAATAGTAGAGCATACACTTTTCTTTTTTATATTATTAACTCTAATCTTAAATATACAAATAAATAAAATATGTATCTTAATCATAAATATAAACAAATCTTAATAAATTTAACCAATTTAATGAAATTATTTCCTAAACTTTTTATTGAGAATTTATTCTTAATGACTAAACTTATACTTGATATCAAGTTCTGATGAAAGGTCATTTACAACAAAAAAAATCATTTGGTAAATGAGATAGTAAAATAATTATGAATATGTTTCTCATATTTGAGACGGAAAGGTGTAAAATAATTATGAATATTTTGGTAGAAAAATAATAAATACAAGAAACAATTTAAAAACAAAATTGTAAAAAAAACAAATAATTTTACGGAAAAAAAAAAATAGGGAGGCGTTATCATATTGGTAGTATATAGAATCCTCTTTCTTTTATTTTCTCTCTCTCTGGCATCAGTATCTGCCATCATTTTCTTTTAAACTCAAACTTGGACATCTACTTAAAATTGATAGCATCAAATACCAAATTATTATATCAATTAATCAAAATTTAGACCAAAGCAGGCCCTCCTTACCTTACATGTTCTAATATATCAGATTTCTTGGACAATTTTTTGATACATTTAAGAGATGATGATGATACACACATTATCAGAGACAGAGTAATTCAGAAAGATGAAAACTCCATTTGGCAATTTTATGGTGATTTTGTACTTTCATATAGTAAAACATTTGATCCAGGATTAACCTGCCGACACCAAAAGATTATTGTGTTTAAATTTATGTGCTCCAAAAGTGATATCATCTCAATTCTAATTTCAAACTACTTTTTCTGCTTCTGTCTTGAATTACAATCTAGTCTTAAGTTACCACTCCAACCTATAGTTGTGTCAATTTTCATATCAGTGAAATTAACTTTCTGCTGAGTAATTCAACCAATTCTTTAAGCTAATTAATTAATCTTGCAGAGGGTTCAAATCCTTTCTTCATGCTGTAGTTTTGTCAATAGAAAAGCTGAGATCAACTTCCAAATTATTTAGATGAAAGTTAACATCAACAACCTACTGATAGAGTTCCTGTAATTGTTAAATGGCACAAAGAAAGTTTGGACAGATTACTTTGTCAACCCTCTGCTTACATAGTGATTTTGTGCGGGATAATGCAAACATTCTCTGAGCTGAGTTATAAACAATCATTTCTAGAATAGTTGGATCAGAATTCTCAGAGGAATAATGATTCCCAGCCATTATGAAGGACTCCAAATGCTGGTGTCAGCACACCAACTTGGCTAATTATGCCATAAACTGAGGCAAGAGGATGAATTTCAGACAAAAAGGCGTGGTCCTAAACAAGTAAAACAAATCATGAAATAGATCTAAAGAGAGTAATAAAAGCATTGGATAATTGGATGGCACCAGAAAGTCTAACAAAATTGTCATTGGTTCAAGAAAAGTCATAGGACACCAACAAGCTTTAAAAATCTACATGGCGTGCAAAATCTCTAGCAGAATACCAAAGATGAAATCTTTTGAAGTGGTTCCCCACTAGAGAGGCCAAAATCAAGGACGAGTTGGCATACAAACAAAACAAACAAGATAAAACCGTAGTAGAGACAAGCCTCTGTCATTGTGCTGTTTTGCTTCTTCAACAACATATTTTTTTCAGTAGTTGTGAAACTGGAACCATAAAATAAAGAGTCCATCAAACTTCTTTAAGCTCTTTTTAGTTAAAAGGATGTTATAAAAATAATCAAACTGTATGTTAGTGTCTACTTGTGTTTGTCCCGAAACTGTTTCATGATGATGATAGATTTTCCTTTAGCGAACGTGTCGGTGTCTCTAACATTGTACGCGTGAGAATCTCACCAGATGATCTCGCACCGAGCTTCATGGCTCCTTGGTCAAACGAATAAACAGAGCAGTGTGTTTGAAATTCTGGTAAAGGAATTTTCAAATCAGGGTCTCGACAAAAGCTTGTCTCAGCTAACTTCTACTCCAACCAAGGTTTGGGGATTATCAACTCAAATCCAAAACCTGCCATGTTTGTTCATTTCCTACTTTTTTCTACACTTCCAATGTCAACCCATATTTCTATGATCATCAGCGTTTAACTGTTACGTAATAATCCTTGGATTTAAGTAACCATTATGTCATATTAACACTGTCAACGATCCGCGAAATTTGGACAAAACAAAAACACAACTGCATGCGATTTGATGAGATCAACAGGTTTAGTAAATGCTGATTTTCTCTGCATCCCTGATGGCAAAAGAATGCATTTCTTTCTACAGCCTGAACAATCTCATCGCATTTTGGCACTATTTCTACTACTATTGTAACAGTGGAGCGCAATGGTTAACAAACATGGGACTTCTTTTTCGGTAAGAATTGAGACTTCTGCAGTACTAAAAGTTTTGATAAAATATATTTGCATGAGTGACATCTACATGAAGTGACTCTCCAACAGTAACAGGGACAAAGACGTTTAACCGTTGAGATCTCCTAAAGGAATGAGTCAGACTCCAATTTTTTATTAATCGTCGACATGGACAAAGATCAGCCACAAATTTATAATTCCATTTAAATTGTATTATTACACAATTAACGATTTAGCGTTAGTCTTTTTCTGCAACACCCCAGTTGTGAAACTTGTTACTTCAGTTTCTCTTAGTGAACCAAAACGAATGGATGCAGAATAAATAGGTATAAGGTAAAAAGTGGGTAGAATCCACGAAGTCAAAAGCAAACAGCAGTTGATAAGCATGTAAATAGCATCTTGGATGAGGACCCCGGTTAGAGCCCCCAATATTCTTTCCAAACCCCGCAACACTCTTTAGTGTGTACTTATACACTGTTCCTCATTAGTGAAAAGACGAGCCACAGGAATGAATGAATGATGTAGTGTACACTGTTTAATTTTGATGTCAAAGTTACCTTTATCAGTAAAATTTCAATAATGGACTGAGCAAGAGAGGCTCTCGAATTCTATAATGAACATCAATCATTTTTTGTTTGTTCGTATTTTTCCTCAAGTACATAGCCAACCACTATACATCAAACTCTCATTTTTCTCAGGATCAAAAAGGGAAATAAAAAATAAACTCAGTTTCTTTTCTTCGCATTAAAAAAATGTTAGTGCCCAATTGATTATTCTGACAAGCCTTCCACCTTCATCCAGTCATCATATATATTCTCCAGAAACAATTAAAAAATCTTGAATAAAAAAATCAACTTCCTGCAACAGGAAAAAGCATTGATCATTGTTACTAATAAGCATAAGTTGGAGATTATTAGTAAGCATGTCTTTATAAGAATTAACACAAATTGCACATGGTTATTAATAAAAAGATTTATGAGCAAAAATATATATGTAGCCATGTGCATTGGTGTTAATCCGTATAAACATCAAGTGGAAGAAATCGCCACAAAGTAGTACCTGATGACTGTGAAGGTCCGTTAACGATCAAAGTATGGTGAGACACTGGAAGGTTGAGTGTTTGTTAGTTGGGTATCAAAATATGCACATTACCGAAGGTGGTGGATGAGTAGCTACCAAGATTATGATGATGTACTGTACTGATCATGTGTTAGGCAAAGCATGACTGTAGCACCAAAACTACAGATTATAAACTGACAAAGATAAAGTAAAGGTAAAATTAGACAAAGAAGCAGGCCAAAAGCAGCACAAAGAAAAGCATGAAAGAGAAGAAAACTAACCTTTTTCGGTATGTGGGAAATGGGTTGTCCCTATCTCCCTCCATGAATGAGTTTTCTTCAAAGTAATTCCAGCATGGTAATGGGGGACCAATTGCTGCTGAACAGTAATATGTGGATGTAAGATTTATAATTCAGGGGAAAAGAATAATTGTATTGACAATAAGAAAAGAACAAAAGGACTTCAAAGCAGAAAAGATTGTGATATATAGGCTTTTCAGACAATTCTGCGAACATATTCTATTCATTTTGGCTCCCGAATTCATGAAACCAATTTGAATATCCAGTAAAGCAAGATACACTTAATGGCCAACATCGTTTTAGTATATTCTTTTAGACTGTATGTTTTCATTGCACTAGCAGGATTCACTCTAGTATGTTCAACCCATATAAATCATTTACAGCTTCAGAATCTAGTACTTTTGGTCTAACCAACAAGAAAATTAAAAAAAACTTAGGGACCCCTTCGGCCAAAGGGGCAAGGTCAGGTTTGCTTAGGGTCCTGCACGTGTTTTTTAATTTTTTCTACTTGTAAGTGCTTAAAAGATGAAAGAAAAAATAAATAAAAAAAAAACCACTCAGGTGTAGATATTACTAGTGTACCTGAATGTGGAAGGACACGTCTCACATCCCAAATTCCTTAGAAAAAACTCAGTTCAGTATATCCACCGGAATATGGCAGAAGTTCCTCCACCTCAATTCTGGAACGAGAACAACTCATAGTTTTCTTCAATCTACCATGAGCTGACTCAACCTCAGCCCAAAATATGCCATAGACAGGTCTGTGATCTGAAAACTTTGATTCACCACGGACATACGATAACTGATGTAGACCTTCTCCATACCACAAAATACGGTCACACCTATAAAAGAAAAATATTTATATAAGCATAAGTAGCATAAGCTAATAAAATACAACGTAAAATACGCTTTGCTTCATAATTCATTTTTTCCTTCATATCATAAGCTTTGTTTCATATGAATGATACTATAAAGGATTCTTTCTTCTAAATTCCTATGATGTGGTGTGATAAATGATGGTCTTACCAAGCAGGGGTTCTCCTTTTTTCTTTGGGGTGCATATCATCTCCAGCATATCTATCTGAATTAGTTGAATACTTGTACGTTGGAGGAAAATATATCTTCCCCTCATTCCACCCCAGAAACACACGACCTCTTTTCTGCTCTATTCTTAACTGCCAGTAATGCAATAATTGAGATTCATTACGAATATTCATACAATAATTTTACATTTTATCATGTTTAACAGACATACTTGATCATTCTCTAATAATGCTCTCCAGTTTTGCATCTCAACAAGTGCCTTAGCAGAACGGTAGGAGAGGGCAATCCGGTAGTTCAAATCTCCAAGCCATATAATTCGACTAAATTGAGAAAATGCAAAATATCAGTTAAGTGAAAAGAAAAGCATTCATAGGGAAACAGAAGTGTGCATACTACTGAGACACGAGGAGAAGGTGATATATTAGCAAAGGAGGCCTTAAATAACTGGCATTATTTAAAAATAAATAAATTTTAGATGAATGTGAGTAGATTCTTACTCATGATCGAGGATTGTCTGTGGAGACTTATCATTGTCCACACCTTGAACACGAGGAAACCTTGTCTTTTTAAGAATCTCCATAACATCAGAATTTCTTCTTAGTTCATCACCCTCTTTCTGTCCTGAGGTTAAATGGCTACAGATAAAGCAAAAGCTTGTTTCATGCAAAGACATACTAATTGAGATGGATCCCTGCAAATACAAGCCAACATAACTCTTTTATTTAAGCATATAACATGAAACCATCATGTTTGTCATGAATTAATCTAAGGAAAAACAAAAATTGAGAATATGACTTGACTTAAAATTCACCTTGTTTCCCAGATAACCCATCAATCCTCTGCCAACACAAGACACTTTCATATTTTGAACATGATCTTTCAGTTCACTTCTCACCCATATTGTAAGATATATTCCCACCATTTGCTTACTAGCAACAAGGCAGTACCTTGAATGACCTGGCATGGCATATCCCTCTTCATTAAAGGAAGGTCCACCTCCACCACGGGACATTGGGGAAAATAAGACTGTACTTGGTGAATCCCCAAGGCCATTGTCATCGTCTGATGAACCCCATCTTGAGTAGTCACTTGGTCTTGAGTAGTCACTTGCCCTGGAATAGTCACTAGGCCTGTAGCCCCATCTAAAACTGGGATCAAAGTCACTTGGCCTGTGACCAAAAATTACACGATCACAGACGCTGTATCTTCTATCCAGCCGCGGTTGTCCAACTGAAGGATCATTGTCCATTCCCCAACCACTAGAAGTTGTCTGGAATGATCGCCTATGGAAGAAAGATGAATTCTTCTGCCTAGCTGACCCTTCAAAATCTGCATTCAGCTCCACAACTGGCTGAGGTATGGGAGATGGTGTATAGCACCCACTACTTCCACTGGTGCCAGGAAGATTGTTTAAAGTCTTTCTGATGAGAGCCAACCATTTTTTAGCAGGGCCATTGTCTTCTGCCCCTAAGATATTACCAGCATTCAAGGGAACTATCTCTTGAAATCTGCAAGGGACAAGTAGAAATAGTCATTGGTAAGAGTTAATGCTACCTTTGATTGAAGACTACGTTGACAAGTACCAAATCCTACCCAAGAACATAAATGTCTGCGGGTGATGAAGAGTGAAGCCAATCATCTAAATTCAAAGTACTTGGCGGAGATCTTCCAGCTACATTCCACGTAGCTACAAAAATGCTGCTTACAGAGAAAAGAGACACCAATGAGAATTTGAACATGGCCTCTTTTTTTTTTCCAAAAGAAGGTAAAATAAGAGAAACGGTATACCTATAATTCTGCACATCTATAATTCGAGGGTGGTCAAGATTCATTCTTGCTCGCCTCACCTGATCTGTGCTTCTGCTAAACTTCTCTGTTCATTACAATTAGTAGTTGTAAAGATTTGGTGTAAGAAGTCAGCATTTAAATAACACGAAGGGCATGGTTCAAGAAATTAAATGAAGGCAACTCTATACCTGTTTTGCTCTTTTTTATTGTGCATGGCTCTCTCTCAGAGAAGCTATTCCTACTTCTGCATTCCACGTCACCTCCTGCAGAAGGAAATTGGGGTTGATGCATCAAATTCACGAAAAGAAACTACAGTGACTGACTTTATATCAAGAGGGAGGAAAAAACAGAATTGTATTTGATGAACATATATTTCAGCTTATGGTTTCATTTTGTTTGAATGCGAAGAAACTGTTGAAAGAAAACAAATTAATGAGAATATAAAAACTCAGGCAAAGACAATCTATGCCTGAGAGAAAGCTAATTGAGTATTTAACAAAGCTCAATCTTTTGCACTTAGACAACGACAAAGTCAGACAGAACGCGACGACTGATCCCAGGCTTCAATTTTTCTTTCGAAATGGTGTTATTCATCTCTAATTCCTTCGGTTTCTCCGGTACCAACTAGAACATGAGAATTTTTTCAAGACCTCACACTGTACAGTTCTAGCATCACAAACCTCTCGTGTAATTTATTCCTAGGCTTCTCCCTTAGAAACTGATCCTAGTAGATAGTGAGTTTTGAAGAAAACCAACACCTACCTCCATAAGCAGCACCGTCGGCTTGGGAATCCTCAGTCTTGCATTTGATATTAAAGAACTTTCTGACCATTTTCTTTGACCATGAGAGCTTCATCACGCAACAGAAAGACAAAACAGTCAACAACTTGCAATATGAAAACACCAAAACACTCAGAACGTTGAATTTCATTCCCCTGAAAAAAAAACTAAAAGAATATCTTTGTTTTAGAGGATATTAGCAAAACCTTGCTTTTCTTGGAATTCTCATCTCTCATTTTCGCAAACTTCTACTTCATGCAGCTCTCGAGGCTCTCTGATATTTCTGTGCGGCTTAGAAGTATATCTATAGATCCAAAACTTCTTTGAATTTCAAATAGCAAAGTATCATTGCTCTGGAAGCCCCTTCTCCAATCTCCACACTATGTATCTATGTTTTGGAGCTGAGGAACAAGACCAGGGTCGTTTGTTGTTCTCAATTCCAGAGAAAAGAGCTTAATTGATCAACCCGAGAAATTTAAAGAAAAGAGGGCAAAATGCAATTGTTTTCCTTGGTTTCCTCTTCTGGTGCGCTATGTACGTGCTCTTGCAACACTACTACTAGAAAGTATAAGAACATGGAAACAAACTCCCATAAATATGAAAGCAAGCGCCACCAACTCAAGAGAGAGACAACACTTTAATGCGTGGAAGTGAAAAGAGATTCTGAAGTATTAGAACAAGACAATGCAGCAAGCATTTAGAGGGAGGAAGGGAGGAAGGGAGGAAGGGAGAAAGAGAGAGAAAGAGAGACAGAGAGAGGCTCCTCGTTCTCTGCAACCACAGGAAACAAAGTATCGAATTTGAACAGAATAAAGCGTAGTAAAAGAGAGCATAGAAGAGCTTTATTAGTATTTAAATAACAATATTTTAGTGACAACCTTAGCTCAAGACAAGGGGGCAACGGGTAGGTAGTTTTTTGCTTTAAGGCTTCTGCATAAAACGACCCGGTCAGCTGATCAAAGCTGCCCTTGGTCAGCAAAGTGAAGAGGGGATGTGAACTGTGAACTGTTATGTGAGATCTACCACTATTCTCCTATTCCCATTCCTAAACCTGCATTTCTTCTTCTAGTTTTTTGGTCTTCCAATTAAAGCAAAAGCAGTTAAAGAAGGAGAAGGGAAAAAGAAAAAGATAAAGGCCTTGTTTATATTATGTTATTGTGTTGTATTCAATTATTGGTCAAAGAATGTTTGGAAGAGAAGTAATAGTAAACCGATGCAGTGTGTCATTCCTCTATAATAATAACAATAATGAAAACATTTGTCTTGTTTTTTTGGGCACGCGAGTGAACGAATGAACGGATACCCTTTCAAAAATTTAATTTTGTCTTTCTTTGATATGCCATGTTATGTTATGAGCAGATATTTTGTATGGTTCAATGTGACGTTTGATTCCATAGATTGGTCTAGGTATGGTGCCACTGAATATAGGGCGTGTTGCGTTGCATAGCAAATAACTTTGAGGCCCTTTTGGCTCTGACCTAGCTAGTCTTGGAATGTCTTTGGAAACAATGGCAACTTACCCAATTTTATGGTGTTGGGGATTCCTTTTCCCTTTCCCCTCCCAGCCTTCACTGCTTTTAACTCTTTGAAGCTGCCGCCAACTATGATTTTCTCTAAATCTTATCATATTCATTATGTACAACTCTGGTTTAGACTTTGGAACGAAAAATCCATGCAGTAGCATCTTCCATCTTTTCCTTTAGTTCCTGTGACCTTCAATAGCCAAAACTACACCAATTTCCAAAACAAAATGCCCTTTTGCCTTTGGCTCCCAAGTTTGAATTTTGGAAATGCCTTTTTCTCCTACCATTCCTAAATCTCCTCTGGGTATAACTCTCATACATCACTTTGAAGTTTATTTGTGGGGATCAAGATTTAGGAGTAATAATAAATTTAAATTTGACTTTTTTTTTCCTTCTGTATTTTCTATAAAGGTGTTTATGGAATTATATTCGCCTTACAAATTTCATGTGTCTTGAACCTCTTCAAAGATTGAGGCCATAGCCCCACTGGCCACCATGTGTTCCCTTTTTCACAAATTATTGGTCTTCAAGTATCTTATTAGTCAAAACTCTTGTTGATATGAAATAGAAAATGTATTAAGTTGACAGTGCAATACTGTATATACTATTATTATCATCAGGAAAATAATAAAGTATCTCCTCACAGAAGTCCACCACCTAAATAAAGCATATTTTTAAAAAAAAAAGAAACTTATTTAATTAAAAACTACAAAATGGACCTTTAATGTATGATATACATTTATATATATATACACAGTACTATAACTTATTAAAATTTAAAGATAGTGTATAGTTTATATTTTACTTTCAGATAAATTAACTTTATGGATATTTTTTTTCCCAAAATAATAATAACCTAAACTTCACTAAACACAGTCTGTTTGTATTCAATGGAAGAAAGAGGTCCAATGCAAAGAGGACCAGTGGAACTTTTCTGACATGAAAAAAATAATAAAGCCGAAAGAAAAATGAGCTGCTGCAGCGCAGCTGCAAAAAATAAGACAGAAGAAATATGGTCAAAGGTATAAGAAGACTCTCCACTAAGTTTGAATTTGTTAATTTCAGAATTTTGGGAGTGATGCAACAACAGTCATAGGATGGTGGGAACAAACCAAACAAATGGGTCTAATCAAATCCCCGGGGAATTAATTACAGTAAAGAATGCGAAAATATGCATACATACAGCTACAAGGTCGTAGCAGACAGCAAAATTAACCCAACTGGGGGAAGCTCATTTGGAATTTCTCAAATACTATAATAATGAGTAGACTTCCATACCATACTCATCAAATCAAGGTTATCTAATCAGAAAAGCATCATCTTATTTTATTTCCACCTTTATTTAAAAATTAAGAAATATGTTAAAAGTCATAATTCCTTGTAATGACTATAAAATAATTGAGAATAAACGAAGAATATATAGGTTTAATTATCTAGTTTGGAAATGTAAATCTGTGTATATGGTAAGATGAATGGGAAGATAAAAAAGGGTTAAGATGATGTTATTGTTACTTTGAGAGTATAATAATATAGATGTTGGGTGTGCTTTTGCTTTATGGGGGAATTGTGGAGCATGGTTATGTTTATGCATGGTTGAAGGTGGGTCTTTGGGAATGATTTGAGACAATAGGGAAGAGAAGAGGGGCCATGGAATAATCCAAATAAACTGGTAAAGGTTTGAAAGATGAGAGAGAATTGGGCCATGCATAGTAATTGCATATTTAAAGAACAAAGAAAAAGTGGTCCCGCATTTTAGAACGTGCCATGCCAAGTGATCAACTTCAACTATCTTAGATTATTCAGAAGCTAAGATAGCAATAGGATCTTCATCATATTGGTATCTAAGCGGAACCAACCATATTGGATTCAATCACAATATCATCAAAAGGCATATTTCAATACGTGTTTAATTACGAGTCTCACTCTTATTTCACAATTTTCATTTAGTCAGCTTCAACTGATTCAGTCGATAAAAAAAAAGTTGTAAACTAATATTATTTGGAGAAGTGGTGTTTTTATAATTTTTTTTTTGTTATGTGTACAAGTACAATCAATTCACTTGTCTTTTTATAATAGTAATAATAATAAGTGAATCAGCTAATCATATTTTTACATACATAACTAATATATAGTATTTTGTTATTGTTCTATTATGTATTAACCAAAGCTTGTGATAGCCACTGTAAGAGAATTAAGAGGAAAATAGTGAAAAGTTGAACACATAATTAAACCCACATATACTCATAATTCATGTTCTGGAGTCTATCCAAGTGAAATAATTGACTTGCTCTTGATTTGGGGAAACCGTGAGAAAGGATAGAATAGGGGTAAGTGTAATATCTCAACCATCTAAGTAATAAATTTTAACAATATCATTATTATATTACCTCTCTGATGACATATTAATTAAGTGTAATGTCTCAATCATGGTTAACTAACCCCACACGTTAAATATATTTGTAATCCTTATATTTAAATTCGAAATTAAAATTTTCTAATGTTTTTTTTAATATTTGATACATTTTTATTTTTAAATTTTAAAAATAAATAAATATAATTTTTTTAATTTAATAACATTAATTTTTTTTAGGACAAACTAGAACGTATAAACAACTGTAACTTGAAATATAATTTAACATATAAAAACTTAGTTGAATTATATATATTATTTTTAAAATTCAAAAACTAAATTACAAAGTTTAATAAATAAATTAATATTATATATATATATATATATAATATGTGTGCGTATATTACAATTTTTTTATAAATTGTCATTATTAGTATATTATTGTTGAGAGTTCAAGTGTGAGTCGAAGTCTCACATTTATTAGAAATAAGAAAGTAGAGCACTATATAAAAGTGAAAGACCCATTAATCATTGTCTTAAGGTTTGGTTTTGGATAAAGAGTGATGTCAATTCCTTATATGGTTAGACTTATATCTTATTAGTTTTTGTGTCTTCTCGGTAAAATAGACTAAGCTGGGACATTGTATTATGAACAAATGTAAGAATAGAAGAAAAAATAAATAAATTATTTTTTAAATTTTAGAAAAAGATTGTTTAATAAAAAGAAAATGATCAGAGGAAAATAAAGTGGTGAAAACCACTTAAAATAATTTATGTTAAAAAATGGCTAAAAAGTTATTGGGAAAAAGAAAATTTTCCTCCATTTCATTCTTGTTTTTATACATGAAGATATATAACGTGCGTTTATACTTTCTTATTTTTCTTGTTTATTTTTTATTTCTCTTAGCTAAATTCTCTTGAATTTTATTATATTTCTCGCTTACTTTTATCTATTTGTCTCCTTCTACATTACATTTTTAAATATTTTTTAATATTTTAAAATTGTATTATTAACACTTGGCACGGTTCCATTCAAACGAAATGTTGTTTAGAAAATAATTTGTAAAAATTATATTTCTGAAAATATACTGTGACCACGTTTAATGTTCTTGGCGGCTTTAAATTTTTCTCTTTGAAAATATCATTTTACAAGTAAAAAGTCTTAAAATTAAATAAAATTTCCCACTTTATAATTATTCACTATTGATTTTGTGTGACATGAATCATTCTCATCGTCGCGAAAATATGAAGCATATCCACTTTACTTTGTAAGTACAAGGAGTAATTTATATATATATATATATATAAAGATGTGTCCAAGAGAAAATTCTAATGATTCTTTCATGAATCAAATTTGGAAATTTTTTTAAGTCATCTTAATAATATTCCCAAAAATATTCGAATAGTCCTTTTATAAGAAACTGCCACGGCGCCACTAGTCAATAGAATGGCCCTACATCAACTTTAAAGCTTGTTTCTTAAACTTGCTTTTATTCTTTCTTGAATTTTTGGTATTTCACTTTCTTTCGGTAATCTACAACTATCATTAGCTCATTAATGGCTCTCTCATGAATTTCATAGTATCTGTTCGGATTACAGTGAAAAAAAAACGAAGATTCCTGTGTTGGGTAGGTTTGTATATAATCTGAACTATGCACAATCTAAGGTGAATTATGAAAAAAACAAAACAAAATTTGGTAACGTCATGCAACATTTTTTTAACATAACGCTTATAGTATAATGAAAGAATAGAAAGATTTTGTAAGAGATCTGCAAACTATAATAGATAGCAGAGTTATAACAGGTTCGTGTGGAAAATGACCAAGACATGAAAAAGAGAAAGGCAAAAGATATATTACGCAGAGCTTGAAATAATTAAAGAGACAATATACATGATAGAATTTCTTTTTTACATATAAAGCAATCCAATACGTACTATCATCATAAAGTGGTATCAAGGGGAACACCGTCCCTGAATATTCA